GCATATTTGGGTAATCCGGACGAGGGTTCAAGGATAATCGTAACAATATAAGTTCCTATTCAAAATATGTTTAAAATATATGAAATTTACTATTGAATAAGGTTTTTGTTGAAAACTAAGTAGTTTATATTTAGCTAAAATCTATTATAGCACGAAAAATTGTAGTTGAAAGGGTAAGTTTATGAAAAGGCATTGATGAGTGGCAACAGTGTAGTAAGCAACACTGAGGGCTCCAGTAACCGACAAAATCCTGCGTATACAGACTACGTTTAAGTATACGTTCTGCGTTCTCGACTAATTTCAGCTTGAATCCAAAAATCCATTTGTAAACGTGTGTAATGGAAGTATACGTAACGTTCTTAGCTATTTTTTATTCACTGATAGCATTTTCGTGGATTTTTCGGAAAACCGGACTACGATGGATTCAGTTATAGCTCTGTCTATGAAATTTGAATCAAAGCGCTTTGGAATTTACTTTTTAGCCCTATTTATCTCTTAAATGTTTAAGTTATATTTAAACAATAATAAAAAGTTAAAAATGTTGTGCCGAGACATGAAATCTTTGTTTAGTGCTACATTTTCCTGATGGAAAGCAAAGAACCGAGTACGTTCGCAAATGTTACTGCAACAGGCGTTATGTCAGAATACTTTTGACACTCACAGTAATTTTCGTTTTGTATATCTCATAGTATTTTGGCAAAATTTTTCGCAGATATTTCCCAATTCACACAGAATTCTGTGTATTAATACTAATTAAATTAGTAAGCTCTAAAGTACTTTTGATTATAATTTAATTAAAGCAACATCCAACTGGAGTTAAAAAAGATGATACGGTAAAAGTGTTTAAAAAGCAAAAACATTTAGGGAATTGCTTAAATATTTAATAGCGGAAATTTGCAAGCTGCTGCAATGCTATACTTTAATTCGAGCAACAGAATAAATAGTACTTCATTATGGAAGCCGCTTTTCAGTAAGTGTAACTCTCTATAAATCGCCTACACATCCCTCCTCACGCATATTTGTTTCTAGTGTTGCTAGCCATATTCGCCACACCACTTACCCATGCAGCCCACGCAGAAGCTGCGCGAGTTCTTGAACTGAGCGATCGTTTCTTGGAAGTGTACAACCAAGGACAATGGCTAGTGATGTTTTATGCCCCATGGTGTGGTTACTGCAAACGCACAGAACCAATTTTCGGACAAGTAGCGCAAGAATTGCATGGACTGAATATACGCGTAGGAAAAGTTGACTGTACTCGTTTCACCAATGTGGCACGTGAGATGAAAATTCGTGCCTACCCAACGATTATGTTCATTAAAGGCAGCGCAAAGTATGTGTATAATGGTGATCGCACTAAGGAAGAATTGGTTGATTATGCACTGCGTATGAGTGGCCCTCCCGTACAGCTAGTTACACGCCCCGAAAGTGTTGATATGCTTAAGGGTTCTCACACTATATTCTTTATTTTCGTTGGCCAACAAGAGGGTATTTTGTGGGAATCGTATTATGCCGCTGCAGAGAATTATCAAGAATATGGATTTTTCTATGCAACCTCGCCGGATATAGCATCACAACATTTCGATTTTGAGCATTTACCAGCGCTGCTGGTTTACAAAGATGAGCAACATTATGTATATCCACATGCACATGTCGTAGACACCATGGAGGGCACCGAAATTAATGAAACGGTTCATCATTGGGTGAATGTTGAGAGATTTACAACCTTTCCGAAAATCACGCGCTTCAATATAAATCAGTTAATGCTTACGAAGAAGTATCTTGTTGTAGCTGTAGTAGAGGAGGACAAACTAAACCAAGTAGCTACACATGAACTAGAATTCCGTGACATGGTTGAAGCAGTTATTCGTAAGCATCGCGATAGATATCATGATAAATTTCAATTTGGATGGGTAAGTGCGTACTAATTCATACAAACTACACCTGCTTATTAATTTTAAATATAATTTTTAGATTGGCGAACCTGGTATAGCACACTCTATTATATTGGATACATTGCCTACTCCTCATGTAATCGTGATCAACTCTACAACCCAACATCATTACATACCAGACGATGAACCTCTAAAAATTACACCGCAAGCACTTCACATCTTCCTAGAGTCGATTCATAATGAAAGCGCTACACCACTAGGTGGCGACACTTACTTTGTACGACTACGACGCGCATTTTTCGAAGCTAAGAAGGGATTGCGTGACATGTGGCAGGGCAATCCTGTACTTACTACTGTCATATTTGGATTGCCATTTGGATTTTTGTCACTCATTTTATATTCCATATTTTGTGGAGATTGCTTCGTGGCCTCAGACGAAGAAGATGATCACGAGAAGACAGAGTAAACTTTACGTAAAAAAAGCTTCCGCTTTTTAGAACATTTAATTAGAACATTCATTTAAATTAATTTATATTTTCTAGTCTACTTAAATTGGTTTGTAGTTTAATTTATAGGTGCCATGTAAATTTGTTTTATATTCTTGTGTACATGTAAGAAACAAACTAAACACAAAAATATGTTATTATTTTTATTAGTTTTATAGAAGCGAATGTTTGATAGGAATAAAAAATTGCAATATATTTTACATTCCAACATCTTGCAATGCGTATTTGACCAAAAATAAAGCGTTCGATAATAAAATATTGAGAAAAACTAAATCGCTTATTTCTTTACTGAAGTCTGCGATATTAAGGTTTTTAATAATACATGGAAGCATCTCAGATATTAAGTCGAAAAAATTGTACCGATTCTAGATTTGGTCTTTGGCAGATCGTTTGGTCCAATTACGCAGTTCTAGAAACTCTTGATCTAAAAACCTGCATTATTAAAGGATGGTGATTTATTGTGATATGAAAACTTTCATTTGCACATTTATTAATGATTCATGTTTTTAATTTTTATCAAGTATTTCTAGCATTAAAAATAAAACTTAGTTTTGCATAATGATCTGAAACGATACTAAAAATTTGCAATCATTTGCGCTGGCAAAAAAATAGTGAATGGCCACGCGGCTATATTGAAAGCTGCTTTAACTTATAACATCATAATTTTCTGCGAGGGGCAAATAATCGTAAATAAGAGAATGCAACATTTAATTCTTAAGTGAATAAATACGTTTATCTATAATGTTGCATTGATTAGATTTTAAGCCACTGTCATACATATGTAGCCCTCGAG